TATATATATATATATATATATATATATATATATATTTATATATATATATATATATATGTATATCAAGTTAGATATAATATATATATATATATATATAAATGTGTGTATATATACAGAAGGCAAGCCTTATTGTTGCTGCTAGCATTCGTAGTCATCGGGGTGAGTAGGGCCACAGTTGATAGGGGGAACAGCTTACGCGCATCTAGCCTGATGTCATGTTACCAAGGTGATCTATCAATAGCACAAAACACAGACTACTAAATCTGACTTGTATAAAAATTGAAGGAAGACACACCCAACGGCACTCCAGCGATACAGATCCGAGATCTCTTATCATGGCTTGGTAGGTAGTTCTAATAATAGCACAAACGATATACTTCTGAATATGAGTGGTCGAAGGAGTGAGAAGTGGAGGCAAATACAAACGACGGCTATGACTGTGATATAGATCCAAGGTCACTCTCAGTGCTATTAATAGCACAATCCACACACAATACCAATCTGACTACGAATACTGAGAGAGCTACACACAACCGACCGTACCTTTGATACAGATCCAAGGTCACTCTCAATGGCCCAAACGGCCAGTGCTATTAATAGCACAAACCACACACACAGGCCAACGTGCACGGGATCAGCTACGACGTATGTTATAGTCCAAACAAATGACTCGTGGCCCCTGCAAACGAGGACATTGGGTGTGGTAGACGGGATTGTCAGATATATCTCAATGACTGTATACAGCAAGCGTTTAGTGGTAGACAGGATGGTCAGATATATTTCAATGACTGTATACAGCAAGCGTTTGGTGGTAGACGGGATTGTCAGATATATCTCAATGACTGTATACAGCAAGCGTTTGGTGGTAGACGGGATGGTCAGATATATTTCAATGTCTGTATACAGCAAGCGTTTGGTGGTAGGCGGGATTGTCAGATATATCTCAATGTCTGTATACAGCAAGCGTTTGGTGGTAGACGGGATGGTCAGATATATCTCGTTGTCTGTATACAGCAAGCGTTTGGCAGGGCTGAACGGAAGTCTGATATGATATCGGAAAGGATGATGGATATTCAAAATACAGAACCAGCGATATCTGAGAGTCGACTGAGTTGGGTACGTTTAGCATGCTGCACCGATGAATCATACGGACCCGCATTCGAATGACCAAGTCATCTGTATCTCAAGCAACTGAGTGCATGGCTGAAGGCTGATGTCCTATGCAATTACCGCACATCTAGGCATGAAAGGTCAAGTATGTACTTAGGGTTTTAGGTTTTTTAGGTTGAGTGCGCAGTTGAAAGCTGGAGATCAGAGTGGTGTAGCAAACCTAAAACGATTGGTTCCACAGTGTACTAAAAACCCATACGGATAGTTTATACTAGTGAACTATCCTATTTCCAAGTCCGAAACAATTCGAATTGGGACCACTTGTACATTAAATCGAGTTCCTCCGGTTCAGTATCAAGTTTGGGTTTTTAGGGTTCAAACTCTAAAAACAAAGTGCTATACAAACTGAAAGCGGTAAGAACGAGAACTAGATTTGGCACGAGAATGGAGCACACACGGTCAAATGCCAGGGAGTGAGCATCTGATATACAAACGAACTCGCAGCCTTTCCTCCGTAGATTGTACGTAACACAGTATAATTGACGATAATTTGTTCAACATCAATATATAGAATGGATTGCATGGCACACGTACACGAACCATTTCTTCTATATATGTATATATATATATATATATATATACATAAATATACATAATATACATAAATATA